GCCATTGAGGGAATGATATTAATCCTATTAATAAAATCAGCATCTTTTAGTAGCTGCATGGAAAAGCTCCAGTTCATTTTAAAAGCATGAGCCATTTCCAGCTGCTTTCTCCAGGCACCAAGACACTTGTTAACAATAGCAGCTGACCATGTGTCTCTTCTGAAAATCAGTTTCAGCAAATCAAATGGAGGCTCTGAGTCTTCATAGTTAAAGGACACAGGAGGTTTATTGAGAAATTCAGTGAAGCATACTTAGCCACATAATAAGGAATGGGAGGGAGGGAGAAAGTAATCCAATCAGCATAACTTCATAGCCAAACAGAGGTCAGACGCTAAACATGTCGTAAATGTACATCATCTGTGAAGTATCTGTTTCAAATCTGAACTTGCAGTACTATTACACATTCATTTTACAATGGGTTTTAAACCAGAATTTAATGCTGTACATATATATTTTTATGCTCATGGCCCCATACTACATGATGGCAACATTGGCATTGTATGTTATACTGTGGGAAGGACAAAAGAAAGATACTTCACTGACCTTTTGTTAATGAAATAATTACATTTCACATTTGTGAAGCTTGTACTTAAGATTGAGTTCCTTAGAAGTAGCATTGTCTTCAATGTTTCCTAAATATATTTGCAAAATGAGATTTGTGTGGAAATAATAAACTATTCACAATTATGAAAAAGGAATGGTGCATGTATTCAGTATGGTTATACTTTAAATTATAAGACCATTTCTTAATGTGTTGGTCTAGAAATACCTTTGCAAAGGATGACAGAATTCCAAACTTCTGGAGTATTATAAATGTTTTGGTACCATCAAATTGCTGTACAGTTATGACTTTATGGCCTATAGTTTGTATACTTGTATAGTTATAACTACACCAATTCATACAAGATCTAGATGCATCATTACCTTGTAATGTAATATATTTTTAAAAATCACTTTCATCCTAAGTTGTTAAACTACGGGAAAACACTACTAAAAGATTTTTAAAGACCTGTAAAAGGGGGAAATTCAGAAACCACATTTAGTTAAAATGTCACCATCTGTTCATACTGGGGAGGGAGGTGATTATAGCCTGAATGGCAGCAGAAAATTGTAAGTATGGAACGGACATAACAATTTTGTCTCTTATTTGAATTATGACTCAAGTGGAAATTTGGACGGGATGAGCTAGAGAACTTGAATGTAAACATTTAAGAGGAAACTGAGCCTGATGTTTCCTATAGTCTATTTCAGTGGCTCACATTGAAACTATTTTAACGACTACCTTGTGTCCTAAGAAATACAGTATTACTTTGTAGTAGCCACACATGAGTATTCTAATTGAGGCAGAAAGAAATGTTTCTCCCCATCTGCTTGGCTTGCACATGTTGGTGCTGTCCCTCATGTTGACAGCTGTGTTAATATGCGATGCCACCTGCCTCATGGTGAAAATTGCATCCTAGGGTCAGGGGGGTAAACTTTCCCCTACTTGAAACATGTGAATGATTACAACTGCCTTGCTGTTGGCATCTCTGCCTGTGATTCTGTTTATTTTTGTGCCTAATTTATTTACTTAGAAGGCACCCAATCTTCAGCTATTGCTGGATACTGCACAGTTGCAAGTGCAACATAATCCAGTTCAAAATAAATATTCTTTACTCTTTTGACACTCCTCTCATTATGTATCTGCTACTATTTTGGTATTTCCAAATCTCTGGAAGAGAAGGAAAAAGTCTCAGTCTGGAATTATTTGCGTGCAAAACTGTTACCTCGGGGGATTAGATTAGTTTGCGAGTTTTGTTCCCAGTGCGGTAGTAGCAGACACAGCAGTAGTGTCTCTCACTGCTCTGTGGTAACCCCTCCAGGCAACGCAGTGGGAGTACTGAAAGATTCTGGGCGCAGCTACATATTCCGCCTACCTGCATGGAAACCATTTACCATTTGGTATTTTAACTCTCTGGTACAGTGTTTGTAAGGGTTAACTGTTGTTGTTTCCTTTAAGATATTGAATGCTTTATTATTATACTGGGGTACCTCTCAGTTGCTGTGATTCTGGGATTTGAGCAAGAAATGGTCATAGTGTATGAGCTTAGTGAAGAAGAAATTGGAGAATATCGGTGGGGGCGGGGAGTCACTGAGGTTTTGTTCTGTGGTGCTTGCAATCACAAGGAGGTTAGGGAGGGACTTTGTAGGGAGTATGGCAGGACCCGCTTTACTTTAGCCTGCTGATGCAGTTTCCTTTAATTGCCCTTAGTAAACTGTCATTTTCATAATTTCTCTTCAGAACCTTTATTACTTTTCCCCTAGATACAGGAATGATTTTCTTAAGCCAAAAAATTGACTTGAGACCTTTCCAGCTGCAAGAAAAAAACATATTTCACAAGTTTCTGCACACTTAAGAGGAGAGCAGGGGCTTCTAAGAAAGGGCTGGGCAAAATGTGGCCTGCAAGCCAGATCTGACCCATGGCAGGCCCCTCGGCTCCACCCAGCCCAGACGTGTTTGGGGCAGCCTGAGCTGTGGTGTGTGCAGCCAGACCCGCTGCTCCCAGATGTGCAGCAGGGCTGTGGGGGTGGCATGACAGCTGGACTCTCAGCTTCTCAGCAGCCCCAGTGGTGGCGGTTCCTTCCAGCTGCCACTTCCAATGTCTCTGCTGCTGCGGGACACATCCCTGATGCCCAGGCACCCTGGCCAGTCCATCCTCACCATAGGGTGCTGGATGGAGCATGCAGGCAGGGAGGGTCTCCATGGAGACCAGCCCAGGACCACATGGGCAGGGCACACTTGGCTGAGCAGATGGGATGGGGCCACAAGCAGGTGGGGAATGGACTTCAGGAGTGGGCTGGGTGGGCAAGACCAGGGCTGGGATCATGGGGCCATGAGTGTTGCAGGCTGGGAGGATAATGGTGGGGGGCAGGGGTGCTGACCCAGCCTGCAACAGCTTACCAAAGCTCCCTAAGTTGCCCTCCAGGCCAAATAATTGCCCACCCGTGATCTAAGACTTGTTACAGCATCCTTTTACAGTAAGTAGCAGGAGAGACAGCACAGCTTTTGCAGTCTCTAAAACAAGTGGATTCTGTGTGGGGACTCTTAAGCGGCAGCACCAACTGAATGAACAGTCAAAGCACATTGTGAAGTTGTAGTTATTTGATAAATATCATCATGTGCCTGGAAGTGATTTTTTTTTTTATGTAATTCTGGTGACCGGGAGGCCTGGCCGGTGTCATAGGCAGCTGATCAAACATATTTTTAAAAGACAGGATTCTGCTAGGCACAGGTATCTCCTACCAGGCTGAGAGCAGCTGCTGACTGTGAATGCCGCCTCTCCAATTTTCTGTCTTAGCTTCTCTTTGTGTTAAAAGCCAGCAGAAGAGGTTCAGGAGTTAAGATACTCTGTGCCAGGCCGTCTCTCTGCTGCTGTTCAAGCAGATGGGCTAGTTTACAAACCTCATCTCTACCATATGGTGTCAGCATACTGGGAACATTGGCACCTTAAATGTTGCCAGGGAACCTGGCAGAGGAAGGGAAAATACCCAAACAAAAGTGGGCAAATCAGTAGGGAGTTGGAGGAAGGGCAGAGAAGGATTTAGAATGTGCTGGGAGAATGACACAAAAAGGGGATTCAGCAAAAATTGAGGCATGCAGTCCCAAATAAACTTCAGGAGAGAAATAGTCACTAATGGGTACATCTACACGTGCGATTAATGCAAAGCAATACACTCCAGAGAAGTTTGAGCCAAGTAAACTCCTGAGCGCAGCATCTACATGTGCACCCAGGACAGCAGCAGTTTGAGCCAGGGCAAAGCAGGCCTAGGCTGGGAGGAAGTGGGGGTAGGGGTCAACCCCAGACTCTGGGTGGTAGCGTTGGGCAGCAGGGGGGCTAGATGGGGCATGAGAGTGCTGAAAATGTGGAGCTAAGTAGACAGGCAGCAGGCAGGAATCTAGCCTGGCTGGCTGGGCACAATTTACACTCATGGTCAGCATCTACATGTGTTTAATCACAGTAAATTACCCTGGTATAAGAGAGTAGTGTCCCCGACAACACTATCTTACTGCAGCTTTAATTAGTTCACTCTGGTCTAATAGCATCACATGTGTAGACAATGATGTTTTACTTCACAGCTAATTGGTCAAGTCTGCAGTTAGGTGCCTGTGTAGACACGACCAACGGGAAGAAAAGAAGGATGAATTTGTACTTGAGTCACTTGATGGGGCTGTAGGAGAGTTGAGTTCAGTGCCTGATTCTGCTGCTGATTTCCAGCATGAAGTTGCCATTGTCTTGTGCCTTGCTTCTGTATCTGTAAAATGATTGTTATGCATCCTAGAGTTGTGAGGATGAGGTCATTAATGTTTGCAAGATTCTCTGGTGTCACAATGAGGAAGACTACAGTCCTGAAAAAGAGGGAGAGAACAGATCTCTAGCAAGAGATGAGAAAAGCCCCACACCCCATCTAGCCCCAGAGCCATCCCTTTTGGGGGGGGGCAAATCAGGGCAAGCGGGGGCTCCATTACTCCATGCGGCTGCTGCCTACCACTGAATTTGCGCTCCAGCTGCTTGCCACCCCCCTGCACAGGATGATATGCCTCAGGCCCAGCCTACCCCTGCTGGGGAGAGATGGCAGAATAAAAAAGTTCATGAAGCAATTTCTTCAATGTATGGTTCTTTAAATTTGCAAGTTGACGGTCAGGTGGAGGTGCCAAAAAGTCCCACTGGCTACGGATAAGGAGCGAAATGTGTCTACCGGATAGATGGTGGTCCATTAGCCTACTTCTGCACTGTATCTATCTTGTGATGGAATTACCGAATGGTTTCTATAAGGGCAGGACTTCTCAAAAATTTCAAGAGCCTTCTCCTGCGGTTTGCCTGATATTGTTAGTCTTAGCCGCACAGAACAGGGCTGGGAGAGACCACGGGAGTCACCTAGGCTGCCCCCCCTGCTCAAAGCAGGGCCAGCCCAAGCTAGATCATCCCAGCCAAGGCTTTATCTAGTGGGTCTTCAAAACCTCCAAGGATGGAGATGCCGCAGCTAGATCATGGCAGCCAAAGCTTTGTCCAGGTGGGTCTTCACAGCCCCCACAGATTCGAGCGGGTCTTCACAGCCTCGAAGGATGGAGCTGCCCCCGGTAACGTGTTCCAGTGCTTCACCACTGTCCTAGCCAGGGAGGTTTTCCTCGCATGTGAACTTCCCTCCCTGCAACTTGAGACCACTCCCTGCTCCCGCCCAGGGGAGAGGCCCGCTCCCTCTTCCCTCCGGGTGCTACAAAGCCCCACGCAGCCTTCTCCTCTCCGGGCTGATCCCGCTCCGCTCCGCTCCCCAGCTCGGCTCCAACAGGTCGCGGTGCAAAACCAGCGGAGTCCTCCCTGCCACCCTC